CCAGCTGGTCAACATAGTGAAACCTTGTCTCTACTAAAATACAAAAAAAAAAAAAAAAAAATTAACTGAGCATGGTGGTGGGTGCCTGTAATCCCAGCTACTCAGGAGGCTAAGGCAGGAGAATCGCTTGAACCCAGGAGGCAGAGGTTGCAGTGAGCTGAGATTGTGTCCCTGTACTCCAGCCTAAGCGACAAGAGCAAAACTCCATCTCAAATAATAATGATAGACTGTCTGAATTTGAAAGATAGCAGGTATGGCAGTGTGGCTGCAGCGGAGGTGGGGAGGACAACAGGAAAGGGGAAATGAGACAGGAAAGGGGACAGCAGATCGTGTGGGGCCATGTAAGTCCCAGTAAGGACTCTGCCTTTTAATCTGAGATAAATGGGAGCTATGAGGGGGTTCTCAGTAGAGGATGAAGGTGATTTGACTTTATTAACCGTATCCCATGGGCTGTTGAGTAGGGAGTAGAATATGGGAGGTTGGCTGGGCATGGTGGCTCAAGCCTGTAATCCCAGCACTTTGGGAGGCTGAGGCAGAAAGATTGCTTGAGGTCAGGAGTTTGGGACCAGCCTGGGCAACATAGGGAGACCCAGTTTCTACAAAAAATTTAAAAATTAGCCGGGTATGGTGGTGTGTGTCTATAGTCCCAGCTACTTGGGAGGCTGAGATGGGAGGATCACTTCAGCCAGGAGGTGGAGGCTGCAATGAGCAGTGATTGCACCACTGCACTCCAGCCTGGGCGACAGAGCAAGACCCTGTCTCAAAATGAAAAAGGAATATGGGAGACAAGGATAGAAGCCGGGAGCCCAGTGAGGAGGTGACTGCAGGAGTCCAAGAGGGATGTGCTGTCAGTTGGACCAGGTGGATTTAACAAGGAGCAGTGATCAGCTTTTGGAGTTTTATTTTTGTTCATTTATTTATTTATTTTGAAACAGAATCTCGCTCTGTCACCCAGGCTGGAGTACAGTGTCAGGATCTCAGCTCACGGCAACCTCCGCCTCCTGGGATCAGGCAACTCTTGTGCCTCAGCTTCCTGAGTAGCTGGGATTACAGGTGCGCACCATCACGCCCGGCTAATTTTTGTATTTTTAGTAGAGACGGGGTTTTGCCACGTTGACCAGGCTGGTCTTGAAATCCTGGCCTCAAGTGATCCTCCCACCTCAGCCTCTCAAAGTGCTGGGATTACAGGCTTCAGCCACCATGCCCAGCCTTGGATTTATTTTGAAGGAATCCTCTAATGGAAGCAGCACAGGAGCCAGCGGGATTATGAAACATGAGTACCTCTCCCATTCCGGGAAAAGGGTGACTGGGGGGTCTGAGCAGAAAAAACTTCCAGGAAGGATCCCAGGCCCTGGTCTAGGGCGGTCACCAGAGAGGCCAGGCGACCAGTCCAAGGTCGCATGGCTGGTGAGTCAGCACTGGAGCCAACTTGGGCTCCCTCTTCCCTCCCCATCTCTGCTTGTATTCCCACGCCCCAGGGTGGCCAAGGCTGCCCTCCCTCCCCTGGTCTCAGGGGTCACCAGGAATGGCCACTGTTCTGTAACTAGGCTGGAGGGCAGGAAGAAGCACCCAGCTCTGAACAGGCCTCGCCCTTCAGAGAAGGTCTCCTCTCCCTTTCCTCCTCACAGGTGTGTAAACAGACTCCTGAGGTGTGAAGATCCACCCACAACCCTCCTACCCTCCCCCCTCCCCTGCCCTCCGCTGCCTCCACAGAGGTTCCCAGAAGACTTTCCCGGGAACCCTTCTCAGAGAAAGGAAAAAGGAGGAGAGGAATAGGGGGAAAAAGTGCACTCAATGATTTTTCTGGGGTGGAGGGAGCACAGAGATGGGGGAAATCCAGGCTTTGGTGTTGGAGTGCTGGAGGGCTAGAGAAGAGAGGGAGGCCTGGGATCTGGGAGGCCTAGTAGTCTTCCCACCCTATCCCACTGCCATACAGCTACTGGAGTGGAGATGTTGGGGCGAGAATATATATATACATATTTTTGAGACTGAGTTTCACTCTTGTCACCCAGGCTGGAGTGCAATGGCACAATCTCGGCCCACCACAACCTCCGCCTCCCGGGTTCAAGCAATTCTCCTGCCTCAGACTCTCCAGTAGCTGGGATTACAGACATGTACCACCACACTCTGCTAATTTTGTATTTTTTGTAGAGACCGGGTTTCTCCATGTTGGCCAGACTGGTCTCAAACTCCCGACCTCAAGTAATCCACCCGCCTCGGCCTCCCAAAGTGCTGGGATTACAGGCGTGAGACACTACACCCGGCTTGGGGACAGAAATTTTAATTTTTTTTTTTTTTTGAGACAGGGTCTCACTGTGTTGCCCAGGCTGGAGTGCAGTGGAGCTCATGGCTCACCACAGCTTCAACCTCCCAGGCTCAAATGATCCTTCCATCTCAGCCTCTTGAGTAGCAGAGACTACAGAAGCAAACCACCATGCCCGGCTAATTAAAAAAATATATATATTTTTTTGTAGAGATGGGGTCTCGTTATGTTCTCCAGGCTGGTCTCAAACTCCTGGCTTCAAGCAGTCCTCTTGCGTTGGCATCCCATAGTGCTAGGATTACAGGTGCGAGCCACCATGGCCTGCCCCAGAAACTTTTTGAACAGTCTCCTTGAAGAATCAGATGAAAACCTGCACACTACTCCTTCCCTCCAAATGCTCATTTGCATTCATTCAATAAAATTAATTAAGCACTAGGCCAGGCGTGGTGGCTCACGCCTGTAATCCCAACACTTTGCGAGGCCGAGGCAGGTGGATCGATTAAGATCAGTTCAAAACCAGCCTGGCCAACATGTTAAAATCCCATCTATACTGAAAACACAAAAATTAGCCAGGCGTGGTGGTGCGAACCAATAATCCCAACTACTCCAGAGGCTGAGGCAGGAGAATCACTTGAACCCGGGAGGCGGAGCTTGTTTAGTGAGCTGAGATCCCGCCACCGCACTCTAGCCTAGGCAACAGAGCCAGACTCCATCTCAAAAACAAAAACAAAAAAAGCCGGGCGCAGTGGCTCATGCCTGTAATCCCAGCACTCTGGGAGGCCGAGGAGGGTGAATCATGAGGTCAGGAGATCGAGACCATCCTGGCTAACATGGTGAAACTCCATCTCTACTAAAAATACAAAAAATTAGCCAGGCTTGGTGGCGGGCACCTGTAGTCCCAGCTATTCGGGAGGCTGAGGCAGGCTGAGGAGGCTTGAACCTGGGAGGCGGAGGTTGCAGTGAGCCAAGATCATGCCGCTGCACTCCAACCTCGGCGGCAGAGCGAGACTCCATCTCAAAAAATAAAATAAAATAAATAAATCCCTGTTTTAGCTCCACCCTGATTTCCTCTGGAACTGTGGGCAAATCCTTTTCATCCTCTGGCCTCACTTGACCAGTCTGTAAAATGGGAAGGGGGCTGCTCCCAAGTGAATGATGGACCTTAAGTAGTCCCAACTTCCTGCATACCTTCAGTCTGGAAGGGAGCCCGGGAAAGGTTGTTTTTATGGAATCCTGGCATTCTTAGCAATTCAGAATATCAGGATTCACACACACCAGCACCATCATTACAGATGAGAAAACGCAGGTCCCTCAGTGCCAGGAGCTTGACAAAGGAAACTGAGAGAGTCAGAGTGGATACCAAGGAAATCCAGAGCCCCCTGATTCTGTGTCCTGAATGTATGTTTCCTCCTGCACACCACTCCTCTGTTCCTGCTCTTTTTTCTTTTTTTTGAGATGGAGTCTCACTCTGTCACCATCAAGACTGGAGTGCGGTGGCATGATCTCCGCTCACTGCAACCTCCGCCTCCCAGGTTCAAGCAATTCTCCTGCCTCAGCCTCCGTAGTACCTGGGATTACAGGTGCCTGCCACCATGCCCGGTTAATTTTTTTTTTTTTTTTTTTTTTTTAGTAGAGATGGGATTTCACCATGTTGGCCAGGGTGGTCTCAAACTCCTGACCTCAGGTGATCCACCCTCCTCAGCCTCCCAAAATGCAGGGATTACAGGCTTGAGCCATGGCGGCCGGTCCTCTGTTCCTGTTTTTCTTCAGTCCCTCTGCCTCCCAGAATCTCTCAATTACCCACCAGCACTCCATCATCCAGGAATTTCTCTCAACCCCTTCCTGACATTGTTTATAAGATTTTACTCCCTGCTGGGTAAGAAAGGACAGTCTGGGACATGTCCTTAAACTTATTTCTGAACTAGCTCCCTGGGGACCCTACCTCCTAATGAAGGAAGTTGGGTTGCTTGAGAACGGGTATGGTTTTATTAGCCAAGATGCTAGGATATCAACCTCTGCAGGAATATTCTGCGACCCCCTGCCCCGCTCTGGGCCTCAGTTTCTTTGTCAGTTACTTGGGAAAGGGTTGTATTCGCTGCTTCTGGGGGCGAAATGCACCCTCAGCCTGGAGTTAGCAATAATAATGCAATCATTACCTGTATAGTAAGAAGGGCTATTTGCTGAGTGATTAACTATATGACTGGCACCATTCTAATCACTTCCCATGGTCTACTGTTTTACATTCAAGATTAGCGCAGAAGCCTCAAAACAACCCAAAGAGGCAAGTGCTATTAGGATTCCCATTTGGTAGACGGTAATACTGAAGTCCAGAGAGGTTATGCCACTCATCTAATATTACACAGCGAGGAAATGACAGAGATGGGATCCCAACCAAGGTCTGTATGGCTACGTGGCTTCCTCTTAATCCCAATGAGAGCCCTAGCTTGCAGGGCAAGGTGTATTTGGGGCTCATAGGACTAATTAGGACTAATTAAGAGCCTCCTTTGGGTGGGGACGCCAGCTCGGTACATGACATCACGAAGGAGCACAGTGACGTCGGCCAAGGCGGGCGTGGGAATCCACGCGCCTTCCAGCATCCGTTAACGGCACCGCCCCCCGACCCGCCTCACTTCCGTGTATATTTGCATATTCAGCGAACGGACGCCGGTACGTCAGCGTCGACGGGGTGACGTCAGGGTGCGCCTCTGCAGTTTCCCCCGAGCGTACGTACATACGTACTGACGCACGCATGGCCACGAGAGGGCGGGGGAGGAGTGAAGAGGTTGAGGCGCCCCGCCCAGTCAGCAGGGTTGCGCGTGCCCTGTGAGACCGCCAAGATGGTGGTGGGCGCGTTCCCTATGGCGAAGCTGCTATACTTGGGCATCCGGCAGGTCAGCAAGCCGCTTGCCAACCGCATTAAGGAGGCCGCCCGCCGAAGCGAGTTCTTCAAGACCTATATCTGCCTCCCGCCGGCTCAACGTGAGTCTGACCCGAATTCCCTCCAACCTTTTTCCTTTCTCCAACCCCTCTCAGGTGGTTGCTCAGGGGATGGACTTCTGTTTACGACGAATCACAGCCCGAACCGGCAAAGTCCAGTGGCCAATAGGGAGGGTTCCTGATAGAGGGGCGTGCAGGTGGCCCAATAGTGAGGGCGGGGCGTGGCGTAAGGGGGCGGGTCAGGGCGCCGCCGCGTGAGTAGGAAATGCCAGCCAATAGAGGAAAAGCACTTGGAGACTGATGCCCTGTTAAACCAATAGTGTGAGGGATGGGAGAAATTTAGACGGAGCTTTCCAGGATAGAGGAACTAGGGGAGGGGCTGAGGAGAAACCGGACGGGGTCGTTTGCCCGGCCGTCCTTGGGCAACTTCGTTTCAAAAGCTCCACCCTGTGCCTCAGTTTCCCCTGATCTGGGAGGTGCTTGTATATCCTCCGTTTAGGACGTCGACGTGCCTCAGTTTTACTGTAGGCAATAAGTCTGGATTAGGGGCATGGTTCGGGGGTGAAGTCTGGAGTCATGGCCTGGGAATCTGGAAAAGGGCTTTGAACCCGAGAGGACGTTCATCTGTGTACTCATTAATGCACTCATACGCCGTCCTTTCATTCGGTAGAGAGACTATGCGGCCTTTTTGCTCAGCACTGGGAGATACACTCCTGATCCATCACTGTCAACCCAAAGTGGTCGGGAAAGTGGGAGCCCCGGAGCTCAGAGGAGCTCCTGACCCAAGGACCTGAGGCCAGCAGGGCTGCCTAGAGGGGGCCGCCCGAGCTCAGATCTAAAGGGCATAGTAAGGTCCGGCGCGGTGGCTCACACCTGTAATACCGGCACTTTGGGAGGCCGAGGCGGGCGGATCACATGAGACCAGGAGTTCGAGACCAGCCTGGCCAACATAGTGAAATCCCGTATGTACAAAATACACCAAAATTAGCTGGGTGTGGTAGCGCACGCCTGTAGTTCCAGCTACTTGGGATGCTGAGGCAGGAGAATCGCTTGAACCCTGTAGCTGGAGGCTGCAGTGAGCCTAGATTGTGCCATTCTAGCCTGGGCGACACAGCAAGACTGTCTCAAAAAATAATAAATAAATAGAAATAAAGGGCATAGTAAACACCCAAAATATAAACTACTTTAAAAAGGTGATCTGTGTGCTACATGGGACATAACATAAGGGAATTTAACATAATTGGCTGGGTCGGAGAACCACTGAAACTGCCTTTGCAAAATTATGACTGACACAGTGAAAGAGATTTAACTTAACTGACTCCATCTTGCTTCTAACCTCCAAGCTATCCTTGTTCATTCCTGGGTGAAGGCTGAACTAACTTTGGGAGAGATTTAGTTTCTAGTTTAAACAAACATGGTAACAGCCCTTTCCCAAAGCAGACCTCCTTCTTGTCTGGGGACTAGATTGCCTTTGTAGGACTAACGTTAGCTACAAGATAAGAAATTATGGTTTAGGAGTCATGCAGTTGGAGGCTACAAGATTCTGACCCTCCCTAAACTGCTCCTAAGATCAGTGCTTGAGATATTCTGCAGACCCTGCAATTGATGGATCAGCTGGCCTTACCCAGATCAATAAACTGGCCCATCTGATCTTGTGGCCCCCACGCACGGGGGCCACTGACTGAGCTCAGGAAGACTGCTGGGACTCCCTGTGATTTTATATCTGACCAATCAGCATTCCTGGCTCACTGGCTTCCCCCACCCACCAAGTTATCCTTAGAAACTCTGCTCCAGCTGGGCCCATGGGCTCAGGCCTGTAATCCTAGCACTTTGGGAGGCTGACGCAGGTGGATCGCCTGAGGTCAGGAGTTTGAGACCAGCCTGGCCAACATGGTGAAACCTCATCTCTACTAAAAATACAAAAGTTAGGCGGGCATGGTGGCGGCGCCTATAATCCCAGCTACTCGGGAGGCTGGGGCATGAGAATCACTTGAACCCAGGGATGGAGGTTGCAGTTAGCCAAGATCACGTCGCTTCACTCCAGCCCAGGCGAAAGAGTGAAACTCCTTCTAAAGAAAAAAAAATATATATATGCTCCCTGAATGCTCAGGGAGACTGATTTGAGTAACAGTAAAACTCCTGGCTGGGTGCGGTGGCTCACACCTCTAATTCCAGCACTTTGGGAGGCTAAGATGGGCAGATCGCGAGGTCAGGAGTTCGAGACCAGCCTAACCAACATGGTGAAACCCCGTCTCTACTAAAAATACAAAAATTAGCTGGGTGTGGTGGCACACATCTGTAGTCTCATCTACTCAGGAGGCTGAGGCAGGAGAATTGCTGAACCTGGGAGGCAGAGGTCGCAGTGAGCCGAAATTGTGCCACTGCACTCCAGTCTGGGCAGCAGAGCGAGACTCTGTCTCAGACAAACAAAAAACCCTCCCGCACAGCCAACTCTGCGTGAATTACTTTGTCTTGCAGTTCTCCTGCCTTGATGAATCAGCTCTGTCTAGGCAGCGGGCAAGGTGAACCCCTTGGGCGGTTACACACCATTCATCCCTCCGTCCATTCATTACTTCCTTTAGCTAGTATTTTGTGAGCTTCTGCCCTGTGCCAGGTCTTGTGCTGGCAATGCTGGCGAAACAGCAGGGACCAAGCCAGCACCAATCTGTGCCCTCAAGGAATTCCTAGTCCAGCGGGGGATGGATGTATCCCCCGACAGTGGGCAGAGCTGAGATGGGGGAGCTCACTGGGCACCTGATGTGGCATGGGGTTCAGGGAGGGCTTCCTGGCAGAGGAGACATCTGAACTGGGACCTGAAGGGTGAGGACAACAGCAGGACAAGGAGCAAGGAAAGCACTGGGGCAGAGAGAGGACCACATACAAGGCCTACATAGTTAAGGGAGTGTACCTTTTTTCCCCTCTGTAAGTTTGGATGCTTAAAGTTTGCTTTCCAGGGCCCAGAATTCTTGGTTCTTCAGTGTTTGATGGGGTCATTGTTGGGGCTGCAGCTCTTAGAATGGGAAAGTATTAGATTTCATGGTTACCACAGTGCTTTCCTGTTAGCCATCTCATTTGACCCCCACAACTGTTTTGTCCCCATGTCCAGAAAGAGGAATGACTTCCTCTGGTTTATAGAAGGGAAAATGGAGGCCTTGAGGGCAGAAGTTAATTGCTCAGGTCATACGCAGAGATTTGTGCCAGAGGCAGGACTTTGGACACTGAATTCCTAGACCCAGTTTGTTTCCTGTCTCTGCCTGTCTTCCAAACACTGTGACATTCTTAGCATTGTGGTTTAAAAAATGGCTTCTGGAGCCGAGCGCAGTGGCTCACGCCTGTAATCCCAGCACTTTGGAAGGCGGAGGTGGGTGGATCACGAGATCAGGAGTTCAAGACCAGCCTGGCCAACATGGTGAAACCCCATCTCTACTAAAAATACAAAATTAGGCAAGCGTGGTGGCACACACCTGTAGTCCCAGATACTTAGGAGGCTGATGCAGGAGAATTGCTTGAACCCAGGAGGCAGAGGTTGCAGTGAGCTGAGATCACACCACTGCACTCCAGCCTGGGCAACAGAGCGAGACTCTGTCTCAATAAATAAATAAAATAAATAAATAAAATAAATAAATAAATAAATAGATAAATAAATAAATAAAAAGACTTCTGGGCCAGGCGCGGTGCCTCCCACCTATAATCCGAGCACTTTGGGAGGCCTAGGTGGGCGGGTCACCTGAGGTCGGGAGTCAGAGACCAGCCTGACCAACGTGGAGAAACTCCGTCTCTGCTAAAAATACAAAATTAGCCAGGCATGGTGGCGCATATCTGTAATCCCACTCGGGACCCTGAGGCAGGAGAATCGCTTGCACCCGGGAGGCAGGCATTGCAGTGAGCCGAGATCGTGCCACTGCACTCTAGCCTGGGCAACAAGAGTGAAACTCTGTCTCCAAAAAAAAAAAAAAAGTCCAGGCACGCCTGTAATCCCAGCACTTTGGGAGGCCAAGGTGGGCGGATCACAACGTCAGGAGTTAGAGACCCGCCTGACCAACATGGTGAAACCCCTTCTCTACTAAAAATACAAAAATTAGCCAGGCATAGTGGCGTACACCTGTAATCCCAGCTACTCAGGAGGCTGAGGCAGAAGAATCACTTGAACACAGGAGGCAGAGGTTGCAGTGAGCCGAGATCGCACCACTGCACTCCAGGCTGGGTGACAGAGCGAGACTCCATCTCAAAAAAAAAAGAAAGAAAATGGCTTCTGGAGTCAGACTGACATAGGTTTGAATCCCTACCCAGACTGGTGACTTTGGGTATGTCCTTTAGCCCCTCTTAGCTTCAATTTCCGCTTCTGTACAGTGGGTGTTATGTAATAGTCACATTCACTGGGCTCGTATTTGGTGCCAAGGCTTGTCTTGAGCACCTCCCAGCCTCTGCCATTGGGTCCTCACCAATTATGATGAGGTAGATGCTATTATTATTCTCATTTTGTGTATATGCTATATATGCATTATGCTGTAAATAATATTTATTGTGTTGTTGTGAGGATTAAGTAAATGGATATAAAATGTTAAGTCAGTGCCTGGCATAGGGTCATGGCTGTCATGTAGATGTTATAGATACAACAGGCAGGAAAAAGCAACACATCTTGCTCTCAGGTGCCTTACATTCTTGTGGAGGAAGCCAGACAGTAAATGAAATAAATAGTTGGCTGGGCCCAGTAGCTCACGCCTGTAATCCCAGCACTTTGGGAGGCTGAGGCAGGCGGATCGCTTGAGGTCAGGAGTTTGAGACCAGCCTAGGCAACATGGCGAAACCCCATCTCTACTAAAACTACAAAACTTAGCCAGGCATGGTGGCGGGCGCCTGTAATCCCAGCTACTCAGGAGGCTTAGGCAGGAGAATCGCTTGAACCCAAGAGGCAGAGTTTGCAGTGAGCCAAGATTGCACCACTGCACTCCAGCCTGGGTGACAGAGTGAGATTCCATCTTGGGGGAAAAAAAAAAAAAGTTAAAATATGAAATATGTTAGATAGCAATAATTACTCTAGG